GCTGAAGACAATGGGCCAGGCATTGCTTAAATGAATACAGTTTCTGTGTAATTATTATGGGGGTAAGCTAGCTGGGATCTGGGCGGGATCATTTAGCTACACTCAGTTACTATATAAACTAGAGGAAAAAATTAATTTCCATTTGTAATTTTTGGGTTAAGACACAAATCAGTTATCGGGCCACTTAGGAGTGTCAAATGTATAAAAGTGATAGAATATCATGCACACAAGAAGACACAAATACTCTTACACCAACAACTTGGCTTCAGAGTCCCCTTGCATGATGAGTCAGTTGAGATGAATGTTAAAACTCTCAAGAGTTGCCTTGAAAACTCTCAACTGGCAACCTGGAAATGTGTCCAGAATTTGAAATAAGGTTGAAGAATCAGGATGGTAGATGTTGAAGATATAGGTAAATTTTTAACAAGAGTAGTGGGTTCTAGTAAAGATTTATGGATTTGAAATGAATGCCACACTAAAAAAAAAATTATCCACTATTTTTAGGTTATAGTTGAAACATAAGAACGTTTCCTTTATTAATAAAACAACATGCTTCATTAGTAACATGTTTCAATTATAGCCATACTCCATACCTAAGAATGCCGCTACAAATCTACTCATGGAAAAAAAATATATAATAAAGAGAAGATTCCACATATAAAAACATTACTTTGTACATACTTTATGTTTAGTTCTGGCCTGCAAGTGTTACGGCACTGAAGGGAAAGGCATCCTGAGTGTCGGGAGACAAACTATACCTATAGCTTTGAAAGGAGGGTATCCGAGATATCTACAACTTTGAAGGAAACGGGACCATAACGGTCTGGAGTCAGGCTCTGCTCGATTCTACTGAGGGAGTTTCCCAGCAGAAATGTCCATTGCTTCTCTGCTCTGTGGAAAATTGTTACTTCATGGCATCATTCTGCTAATTCTGTGGGAAGCAGCTTGCTCCTTCTCCTGAGAAAGCTCCTCCTTCTCTGCTCAGCTCCACTAAGGGAATTCCCAAGCAGAGAGGTCCATTGCTTCTCTACTCTACTCCACTCCAGCAAAAGAAGGTCTTCATCCAAAACTGGTTCAAGAGATTTATTGGGAGGCAGGAATCCAGGAGAGTGATTACCTCTGCCAGGGTGGAAAACTGCAGCTCCCAACCTAACCTGCACAGGGTTTATATGGGGCTTCTTAGGGAGGGGAGTTTTTCCAGGCTGAGGATTTTCAGGGTGGGAATTGGTCAGATTTCAATTATCAAGTTTGGAATCCAAGCATAGAGATTGGCTGGATTTTGTGTTCAGGGATTGGTTGGTTTTCCTATTCAGGGATTGGTTGTTTTTTGTGCAGAGTTTGTTAGCGTCTGTAGGAGCCCACTCCTACAAAGTTAACTAGGATTCCTGGATAGGGGATCCTCAAGGCCAAAGGAAAGTCAGATGAAAGAAACAGAAGACAGGACAGAATAGGGAGGTCTGTCTGGTCATGTCGAAGCAGTCAAACAGCCTAGAGTTTATTTCAGAACTTGCTTATATACAAAAGCAGAACAAAGCACAGCACAGACAGCCAATCAGTGTCCAACCACAAGACCATTCCTGTCCTTGAGTGAGCAGCCTCCTCTCCAACAGTGCATGCTGCCCGAAAGCAGCCTTACTTTCTGTACTGATGTTCTTGAGATTTGTTGTCAGCAGTATACTTTCTGCTAGATAGAGTGTTCTTTTCTCATGGGCTAAATCAGAAGTCTCTCACAGCCCTCAAGGTTATTGGAAAAAGCAGAGCAGGCAAGCTTGAGCTCAAATGACTTCTTTAAGTCAGAAATGACTCCAGATGGAAACTGAGTCACCCCAGGGCTCCCATAAGGGACAAACATTTTTCTTTAGCTCTGGTTTCAAGGCCAAAGTGTGTTTCTTTAACTGGCTCTGGTTTTGGGGCAGGGTGTGTTCCTTTGGCTTTGGTTTTATGGTGAGGGTATAGTTCTTTCACTGGCTCCGATCTCAGGGTCAGGGTGTGTTTCTTTGGGTCTTTTACCCTACCTGGTCCACTTCAGTAAATCAAATGTCAAAACAGAGTCACAGCTTTTTCAGTTTCTCTATACATATAAAAGTTTTATCTGATTTTATTATAGCCTATTAAGTGTATAATAGCATTGTATCTAAAAGCAAAATACATACCTTAATTACAAAACACTTCATTAGTTGACCAGAGAGCTAACTGAGCAGCTAAGAGTACTTGCTGCTCCTCTAGAGCATCTGGGTTTAGTTCCTCCCAACCAGCTCCTCACAATTAGTACCCACTTTGGACCCCCAACAAAGACCTGTAACTCCAGTGCCCCGTGCATGACACCCTTCTCTTTTCTCAGCAGGAACCTCCACTCAAATGCAAAAAATCCATACTCAGAAATATCCATAAGCACGCAATTAAAATTAAAATAAAGTGTAAAATATTTTATCGGTAATAAATTGCTAGCAACCATCTGATCTTTCCGAGTTATCTCTGGTAGTTGATTATTTCAGTGCTGGTGGCTGCTAAAGCTTCGGAGTGGCTGGGGCAAATTCTCTTAAGACAGCCGTGTTCCCTGCACTGACTTATTCCTTTCACAAAAGTTTTCACGTGATGTTATTTGATAACATTTTAGCCGTAGTAGGGCGTCTTCCAAAATTGCAGTTGATTCTTTCAGACCTTGCTACCACTTTATCAAGCACACTTCCTGTATTCTAAATCCTTTGTTGTCATTTCAACACATTAGCATCTTGTCCAGGAGTGGGTCCTGTCTTAGAAAATTAATTCCTCCTGCCTATTCCTAAAATGCAGCTCCTCATCATTGAAGTTTTGCCATGGGTTTAAAGTAAATTGGTCACATCTCTAGGCTCTACTTCTAAACTTAAAATCAGCTGTTTAATGCGACCACCTTCTATATCTTAACTAGATCTTCCAGGTTACTCCCTTTAGCGGCTTGATTGCAGCTTTCCCTTGCCATGCAATGTTACAGAAACAACTTCTTTCTTTAAATGTTGTGAAACAACCTATTCTAGCTTCAGACATTACTTCTATAACTTCATTACCCTTTTAGCCTTCATAGAATTGAACAGAGTGTAGCTGGTTTGGTTTTCTGTCCAGACCACTAAGATTTTCTCCACATCAGCAGTCAACAGATGTTTCTTTTTATCTGTGTGTTCTCTTAGCATCACTATTAATTTCCTTTAATAACTTTTCATTTACAACTTAGTTGGTTGATCCAGGAGACCCAGCTTTCAGCCTGTCTTGGCTTTTGGAATGCCTCCTCACCAAGTTTAGTCATTGTAGCGTTTGATTTAAAGAGAGAGAGACGGCCAACCCTTCCCTTCACTTGGACACTTAGAGATCAGTCTAAAGTTATTAGCTGGCTTAAATCCAACACTGTTTTTGTTATTCCTTTGCGGTCCCTTTAAGAGCTAACCACGCCCACTCCCCAGCCACTTCTGACCTCCCTCGTTGCCATCTTCCCCTCTCTCTTTTGTTTTGTCTCTTAGTGTGTGTCCACGTGCCTCTGTCTCTCTCTCTCTATGTCTGTCTCCATGTCTCTCTATCTCCCTCTTTTTAAGTAATAAATGTTTCCCTCTTCTTTAAGCAATAAATGTTTAGCTTTATGTATAGCCTTATGTCCATTTACTCTGCTGTCCACCGCATCCAGCCGCCTGACTCTGCTGCTTGCCCGGGGAGCCTGCGTTGCTCTGGCGGCAGCCTCTGCCTGGCTCACAGGCTGCTCGGGGCATCCCAATCTATTTTTATCTTTTTAAAGAACAATAGTTTTGTCTCAAGAAATAGAGAGACTGGAGAAGTAGAAGAAAAATGAAATCAACAAATCTGTAGAACTATCAAAGCATATTTATCAATTAGGTTTGAGACAACTAGAAAGGGAAAAATAAGGGGACAGGGTAAGATAAAGAAGCCTTTCACTCCAAAGTCTGGTTAGAGTTCTACTAACTGAGAGCCAAGAATTCTGCTGAGCCACTTTTCCAGGTCTCCATGGAAGTGTTTTATAATTAAGATAATACGCATGCTGGGGTTTTTTTTTTTTTTTTAGATGTAATGTTATTGTTCACTTAATAACCCACAACATAATAAGGCAAAACTGTCTCTGGTAAGTTCACTGTTATATGGATATAGTTGATAATGTCCCAAATATTATACAATTAAGAGTAAAAACATGCCGGATGGTGGTGGTACATGCTTTTAATCCCAGCACTCCACCACTCGGGAGGTAGAGGCAGGAGGATCTGTGTGTTCAAGACCAGTCTAGTTTACAGAGTGAGATCCAAGACAGACAGGGCTACACAACACAGTGAAACCCTGTCTCGAAAAACAAACAAACAGAGTAAAAACATTTGAGTTGAGTTCATGTATATAACACATACACACATTAAGTTTAAAATGTTTTGAGAATCGCCAGTATGTGACCCGAAAGTAGTCACACGTTGGTAAGATGGTATCAAGTCTTGCTGTGGTCATGAACTTGCATTTTGTAAACAGGAAAAGTCAGTAGTGTGGCCCAAGAAAACAAAGGTATTTGGTTTCAAATCTAAGTAGAATAGGGCACATGGAATCATTTAAAAGCATTTAGAATGACCTTAGTTTTGTGGTCATTAATGGAAGTCTCAGGACCCTAGCAGATTGGACTCCTATTACACTCTTGAGTCACGGATCTGCCAATCTTGGCGATCCTAGGCTCCCAAAACGGTTGTCTAGCATGTATCAGCCTTGAAGCTCCCAGAGCAGGAACGTCTCGTCACCAAGGCAACCACGTTCTTGCGTCTGGGCGTGGCCCGGGTGAGCGCTCAGAGGCGGTGCCTAGGAGGTTCAAGGACCTGAGTGGCAGTCGGACTATAGCGAAGCCTGCAGCTCTAGGCTTGTTCAGCCCCGCACGGAGGAAACACTGCCTACCGGGTTGGGCTGCGCGGCGCACAGGAACCTCCTCCTGCAGGGTCACGGCGACGGGGGCGGGGCGAGACTCAGGGCCCCGCCTCCCAGCGCGCGTGCGCACTGCCTCCTGGGAGGCGCGAGCGCCGTTGATGTTAGCCATGGAAACGCGAGCGGTCCTGGAGGCCCCCGGTCAGCTGCTGGTGCCGCCACATCCATCGTCGGGCGGGAGCTCCCAACCGACCTCCCCAGGGAAGATGTGGTCCCGGGACGCCCTCGCGTCGCCTTTCCCCTCGGGCGACTCCAGGTAATGTCCGTCCTAGAGACACCTGGGACTTCGTTACTGCCTTAGTTTCCACGCCTGGGTACTACCCAGTTCTTTCAACTTTTATTACCACAACAAACGCCTTCCGCTTTTTAAATGGAATGGTTGCTCTTTTTAATGTTCAGGGTGAACTGAGTTGATAGAGGTAGTGATCCGGTGTGGTTTTAACTTGATTAGTATTTTGCAGCCCGTGGAGCTGCATTTTTTTCTCTGAGAGGCCTTTGCAAAGCTATGCCCCTTAGGTAGAGTTCACTATTTCTTGGTTTTCTCCATCTCAAACCCTCTTGCCCCAAATTTGTTCATTTTTTGGCCGCCTGGGTAGTATAGCTCGTTTCTCAGGTTTTTCTGTCTCCAGATGTCAAAGACCAGAATTTACTTAAATGATTAAGTAATTTAATTACTTAAATGAGTCCCGTTCCCGTTTGTTCTGTATTAGGCCGCTGAATTATCTGCTCAGTGCCTCTCATTTCCCCCTTACTCATCTTTCACTATTTTTTTTTTCATTAAGTTCCTGCATTTAGAGAGAACATTCACACTTCTGCCCTTCCCATCTACACCCTTTCACCTGTCGTTTCTCCCAGCATCCAGTTCAGATACTGCCATTTCACTAATTAACAGTTTGGGGCCTCCCTACAAGTTTTGCCTGTTCTACCTAGAGAGATGCCTGTTGGTTATTAACTGCTGTGGACAATCTTGAGCAGGGAACTTTTTCCATCTTCCTCTATAGAAGCTTCCTTGAGATACAACTCGTTACATGAAGTATACAACTGTTGGTTTCAAGTATATCGACAGAATTGCACAACCATCACTACAGTCAATTTTGGAACAATTTGATTACCTCCAAAAAAAAAACCTCCTTATATTTTTGGTTTTTTTTTCTCTACTTTCCCTGACATTCCTGTGCACATTAGTTCTACGCAACCACAAGTCTATTTTTTTTGTCTACAGATTTATTCTAGGTGTTTCATATAAACAGAACTTTAAAATATGTGATTCGTATGCATGTTTCTAGCTTCTCTCACCCTAGAGGAGTGTTCAAGTTCACCCATGTCAGAGCTGCATTTCTTCATTATTGTTTGTTATCTTATAAAAGTCTGATATGCAGATGAACTTTTTATTTATCCATTTAGCCACTGATAGACATTGAGGGTTTTTTTTTTTTCCTTTTTAGCCAGTAATAATATACTGTGTAGATTTTGCACATACTTTTGTGCAGGCCTGTTTTCATTTCTCTTGGCTATAATGCCTGGTAGTGGACTAGGTGGGTCACATGTTAATCCCATTGTTTAGCCTTTTGAAAAACTGCCAGATTTCCCCAAGGCATTGTTACCACTTTATATCCCACCAGATGCATTTGAAGGTTTTTAATTAACCTCACCAATACTTTTGTCTTCATTTTTATTTTAGCCAATCAAGGGAATTCAAAGCATCTCATGGTAGGTTTGGTTTGCATTTCCATGTATCAAGCTTCATTTCCTACTCCATCTGGCCCATCACCCAGAAATTGTCAGTTCTTCTCCTTGATTCATCTTTTAAAAGTCAAGTTGTATTTTCATCACTGAATTGGGAGAATTCATTATGTGTTTTAAGTGCAAATCTCTAATTGTAACCTTTTACCTTCTGTAGACTGTTTCCCTTCCCTGATGGTGAGGACTCTTGAATACTCTTTCTCAAGAGTGTTAGGTGCCAGTGCCCTCATACTAGCTTAGGTGTCAGGTTTTACATTTTTACACTTTGCATATTTCTTTCAAGTCCACCATTCAAGAATCCTCAAAGCAAACTTTACTTTTGTTTGACAGTAAGTTAGTATGACTCAAAAACTTAGTTTGCCACTAGTTAACATTGTATCTTAGTTGTCAATATTGTTGGTTCTCGCTTTTCAGTACAGTTATTCCCTGCACTATGTGCGCGTTATACTTACACATTAAATGTTGTGTAAAAGGCTCTTGAAGAGTTTAGAGTTTGTTCATGATGTGGCGTTCAGTTAGGATCCCTAGAGCATATACAGAACGAGACTGGCAGCCGCCGCTGTAGCTCTGCATTCCAGCTGGTGCACTCGATAGTTACACTAAACTATCTCCAAAACAAGCCTACTCTTCACGTCTCTGTACTTTGGGACCTGCTCTACTGGTGGCAGATGACTCTTTTCTAAGAAATGGAGAATTGAGTTGTTTCATGGTTTATGAGTACACTGGTATGGGTCATTTTATTTCTATACTGATCATAAAGTTTTGTTTTGAAAATTAGTAAATGTAGTGATGTTTGAAAAAGTAAAACTTCTGTATATTTTCTTTCAAATTTTATGAAATATATTGTAGGAACATGGATGAGTATTGTATTCATAGAATAATAATGTGACAGATTTTTTAAAAAACTAAATGAAATCCAGACAATTGCCAAAAGTGCTATTTAGGAATTTGTTCTTTGACCTTAGAGAAATGTATGTGCGTTTGCACATGCGCATATTCAAACTATTACTTTTTTGTTGTGTTTTTCTTTGTTCCAAGGAATTTTAGTCACTATCCTATGGTTGATGAGCTGTAGCTTTGGTAACTAGGAAGTCCCTCACAGCAGATTGCCAGTTTGTACCATTCCTTACCCCTGTGGGAACTTTGTGACTCAGATTCCAAACACAGCAATGTCTGGGAGTCTGCTTTGTTGGCTGTGTTTCAAAGTAGCATATGGAGCGAGCATATGGCCCACATCAGTGCTGTGGGGCCATCTTCATCATGGCTTTTGTTTCCTCAGGCGTGAGCTGTATTTATTTGAGCATGCTAGAGGTAGGGGCCATACAAATGTTACCTGTCCTTCCGGGGACCAACCGTCCTTCAGAAGCGTATGCCAGATTGTTTTCAGGGAATGAGGTTAGTTTTGATTATATTTATAAATACTCCAAGTTAGCATTTAGAATATTTCTGCACATAAATGTAATTGGTGGTACCTCAAAAAATATTTTAAATTCTTAAATCTTTTTAAACTTCTATGGTCTAGAATGAAAATTAGAAGTTAACGGGACCTGCTTATTATATACTTTTTGTCATAGTGATCATTAATGAATTGTTAGGAAGTAGACATTAATTTTTAAAATCTTTACAATATTATTTAAAAATATTTCTGATTTAAATCAGTCTTTATGTCTGGCATTGCCTATCAGATTTCATAATTTTTTCTTTGTGTACATCTGCATGCCATATCTCTTTATCTGGTTTCTCATTATGAAGTCTTCGCTTCCCAGATGCGGAAATTAAACTATAGTATAGTTTAAGGAAGGAATTACAGTTGGACTTCTTTGTAGCGTCTTATTCCTGCCATTTCTTGCCCCTAACTGTAATCTCCCTCACATCCAATCCTGTTGCTCTGTTATTTTGGGATAACCTTCTTAGGCAGAGTCTTGCCTGTGCCAAAAATATTATCAATAGCGATCATAACTTATTCCGTAAAGAGAGATACCTTCCATGTTCTAAAACAGGGAACAAGCAGTTTATGAATTTAATATTTTGATTGGAACAAAATACAATGCAAGAAGGCTCAAAAGTGGCAAACTCTGCATTCCTCCCTTAGAACAGGAAGGCATCTTGTTTTTCAGCCTGACCCATCTGAATTAAGCTATGCCATTAACATACTACACGATTCTGCATACTTAGGTACTCTACTGTGTTTGTGTTTCACATGGGTCTTTCCATGTTTCTTTGCCGAATTGAGTATTCTAAAAGGTTCAGAACTACTGGAGGGAAAATGAATGTGGTTGGGTTTCACTGTTCTGTCTCCCTTTCTCCATCTTGTTTCCTGACTTCTCTCACAGGGCAAGAGGAGAGTTTTCTTAACTCCATGGAGAAAACTTAGATACTTCAGACTTTAAAATCCTGACCATCCAATGAAGTTCATTTTCTTGACTAGTGGCATCTGCTATATAGATAACTCATGCTGGCATGTTTACCCTTTCCTCCCTTCTGGGATGATCATGTACATTCTGTGCCATTATACATTAGAATACGCGATCTGCTTTTTAATTTTGATTTTACTGGTAATTATAGTTGAAAGACTGCATGAGTCTCAGAAGAGACTTGGGAGTTTGGATTTTCAAACAGTACTGATACTGTGATAGACTAAGCTATGTCTACAAGCCTGTGGGGACCAGGGAGTAGAATGTGATGGTCCCCAAATGCCCACAGGGAGTGGCACTATCAGGAGGTGTAGCCTTGTTGAAGGAGGTGTGGCCTTGTTGGAAGACATGTGTCGCTGGGGGTGGGCTTTGAAGTTTCAGATAGTCAAGTCAGGTCCAGACAGTGCCACTCTCTTCCTGCGGCTGTCGTAGAACCCCCAGTTCCGCTGCAGCACCATGTCTGCGTGCGCGCTGTTATGCTATCGTCATGATGATAATGGACTAAACCTCTGACCTTTAAGTGAGCCATCCCAATTAAATGTTTTCTTTAATTAATTAAAGAAATATGAATGTGAGGTCTATTCACAGCAACAGAATACTGACAAAGACAGGAATCTTAATACTCTAAGGTTCTTTCTGCACCTTCCCCTCTGTAAAAGCTTATCTGCCTCAGTGACATTGTGTGGCATTCTGGAATAGTCTCCTAGCTTTCTCTTTTCAATGGTTTCCATCACTGCCTAAACTTGGCTGTCCTGGAACTTGCTCTGTTGGACCAGGCTGGTCTCAAACTTAGAGATCCACCAGCCTTTGACTTTAAGTACTGGGATTAAAGGTGTTCACCACAAAGTCCAGCCCTAAACTTTTCTTTAATTCCTCTTCACAAATTGAAAGCTTAGCTATGTGGAATCTTGCTCTAAGGTCACCACTCCCTTCATTCCACTCAGAATCAGGATTTTCTTTAATATTTTTTTACAGTTCCTTGTGCCCCTTTTCTCCTCAAATTGCTTGCTTGCTCAGCTTGCTCCTTTTCATTATAGATCTGTATAAACGTGGCCACTAATAACCAAGCAACACAGTTAATACTAGGCTGTCTGGACGTCTCCTCTGCCAAAACTGTTATTCCATAACTTTTCAGTTTAGCCTCAAGCAGATTTTTTTTTTTTTGGGACAAGGGCAGAAAGCAGCCAAAATAAAGCTAAAACAATCTCTAGACCACATTTTAATATTCGTCTCTGACACCTCTTGACCATGCCCCTACAGTTCAAATCACCTTCAGCACTGCTAGTAGTAAGTTCCATTAAATCTCCCTTAAAGTGTCCAGTCACTTTTTCTAGTCCAAAGTCCCCAAGTGTTCCATATTCCTCCAAGCAAAAACATAGTCATATTCAGGCCTATCACAGCAATACCCCAGCCCCTGATTTCTTTCTTAGTTATGGTTTCTGCTGCTGTGAAGAAACATAATGACCATAGCAGTTCTAAGGAAAAAATTTCATTGGGACTGACTTACAGGTTCAGAGGTTTAGTCCATTGTCATGGTGGGAAGCATGGTGGCATGTAGGCAGACATGGTCCTGGAGAGATAGCTGGAAGTTCTGTGTCCACATCAACAGGCAGCAGGAAGGAAGAGTGACACTGATCTGGCTTGAGCATCTGAAACCTCAAAGCCCACCCCCAGTGACACACTTCCTCCAGTAAGGCCACACCTACTCTAACAAGGCCACACCTCCTAATAGTGCCACTCCCTCCCTGTGGGCTCCAGGGGCCATTTTCATTCAAACCACTACAGTATCGCTCTGCTGCTCTGTTATCTTGTGAATGTCCCAGGCTGGACTTAGCAAAGGCTGCACTTGGTTCTGCACAGGACTAAGGACAGCTGACTAGAGTTGTAAGAACACGGATATTTATAGTTTATAGAGCATCCTAACTGTGCAACAAACAGGCATTGCCTGACACAGATTAGTTGAATTAGTTTAAAGGCTATTTTAAGGCATTTACGTTTTCTAAACTAACAGGTGATCCATTGAAGTAATATTTTTTTTGCAGATCTAGTATCAGGCTACTGGCTTTGTTGTTTGGTTTTTATTTTTGTTTTACTTTCAGAATAAGCTCTTGAGGACAAGTAAATTTAATCCGCTACACATGGTGCTTAAATTTTTATTGTCTTTGAGTAGAAATAACCAAAGCAGGGCTTCTCTGTGTGGTTATGATAGAAAGTAAATTTCTGTTCTAGAACTCACTCTGTAGACTAGGCTGGTCTTGAACTCAGAAAGATTCACCTGCCTCTGCCTTCGGAGTTCCTGGATTAAAGGCATGTGCCACCACACAGCCCACGAATACAGTTTCTTAGGAAAGCAAGTTAGCATGATTATTTTGGGAAGAAAACAAACTTAGTATCAATTATATTGTAAAGGTTGAGAAGGAATCAGGGTTAGAAATCCTGCCTGTAAAGGAACTAGGGAAGTCCAGTAGAAACATGGCTGTGTTTCCTCCAGGTCTTCAGTATCGTGTTTTTAAACGGTAATTTGTTTTTTCTTCTTCACAGATACTGCTGATTATGAAAAAGATGTGACTTTCAGACCAATCGTGAATGGGAAGTATGAGTCCAGATGTTCCTCTACTAAATGACTACAAACAGGACTTCCTGCTGAAGCGCTTTCCACAGACTGTCCTTGGAGGCCCTCGACTCAAATTAGGCTATTGCGCCCCTCCTTACATATATGTTAATCAGATTGTGCTCTTCCTGATGCCATGGGCCTTAGGTGGAACAGGAACACTTTTGTACCAGCTGGACATCCTGAGAGACTACTCGGCAGCGGCTCTCTCGGGAGGACTGATGGTAATCACCGCATCTGTCATCCAGCTCACGGGTTTATACGCCAAGAACAGGTCTGTGGTGGTCAAAAGGGTGATAACCAGGGACATCCTGGCGGAGGAGGACGAGCACGAGTTTACAAGCTGTGCTGGCACTGAGACCGTGAAGTTTCTGATTCCTGGAAAAAAATACGTCGCCAATACAGTTTTTCATTCTGTTCTTGCTGGGTTGGTGTGTGGTCTTGGAACATGGTATCTGCTCCCAAACAGAATAACCTTGCTGTATGGCAGCCCTGGGGCGACCGCTGCGCTTTTTGTCTTTGGGTGGATAACACTTTGCATAGGAGAATATTCACTGATCGTAAACACGGCCACAGAGACTGCAACATTTCAGACCCAGGATACTTATGAAATCACTCCTCTCATGCGACCACTTTACATTTTTTTCTTTGTTTCGGTGGACCTTGCACACAGGTAAGAACTTACAGCATACTTAATAACTTGCTTTGTTTCTACGTGTACCTGGCAAGAGCACTTTTCTTAGTGTTGAGTCAGCGAATTAAAAGTTAAGACCAAACCATTGGATACTTGGGCTATTTTGATGAGTAATCCTTTAGGAATGATCCCTATAAGATATTCATATTATAGAGAAGTAGCTTAATCTTACTGAAGAGTCAAAACATAGCAAAAATACTTTTTAAGATATATAATTTTGTTGGGCAGTGGTGGTACACACCTTTAATCCCAACTCTAGAGGCAGAGGCAGAGGCAGATAGATCTCTAAATTCAGGTTCATCCTGGTCTACAGAGTGAGTTCCAGGACAACCAGGGCTGTAAAAGGAGACTGCTTTTCCGTTTCCTGTCCACCCAGATCTGAATAATCACACAGAAACTATATTAATTACAACATTATTAGACCGATAGCTTAGGCGTATTCCTAGCTATTTTTTATATCCTAAATTAACCCATTTCTGTTAATCTGTGTATTGTCACGAGGCTGTGGCTTACCAGATAAAGTTCTGGAGTCTTTTTCCTTAGACAACTGGATGGTGTCTCTCTGACTCTGCCTACTCTCTCTATATATATCTGTTTAGATTTCCTGCTTGGCTATAATCTGCCCTGCCATAGGTCAAAAGTAGCTTCTTTATTAACCAATGGTAATAAAGCATATTCACAGCATACAGAGGGAAATCCTACATAAGCTCCTCTTTTCTATCTAAATAAAAAGAAAGGTTTTAATTTTAACATAGTAAAATTACATATAACAAAACTAGTATCAAGCAAGAATTACAGCATTTAGTCTATTTGTATCTGGAAAGTTTCATTTTTAGTGAAACTTTTCATAACAAAGGAAAACTATAACTGTCTTCAACTCCATCAAAGACTCCAGAAGGATATAATATTACCTAAATAAACAAGAAGTACATTGTAAGCAACTCTAGAATTGACATCTTGCTGCCTGGACAGTCACCCAAAGTTCTTCTGTGACACTGGGTCATCCGTGTTCAGCCTACAGGCCCATAGACTTTTCCATAAAACAGGAAATTTGAAAGACTATTTTGCCTATTGGTAGTTTGTCAGTCACTTTCTTCTGTGTCCAGCAGAATGTCTGGCAGACTCTTTCATGAAGCAGGAACTCTGAAGGACTGTCTCATCTCTTTTGGCAAGTTCATTAGTCTTTTTTCTGTGGGTCCTGCATGTTCAGTTCATACAACATGCCATCAAGCAGTCCAGGAAAGAGTAGTTTCTTGCCCAGATGGCTAGCAAACTCCATAAGGAGCCTCTTCAATGCCCATCATCCTCCTGAAGTAATTATTGCTGCCAGAAGCAGACATGTCTCACTGTTGAGAAAAGTCTTAAGTTCTTAAAACCTTTTAATTGCCATATTCTGTAGGTCTTTGAAGTGGTGAAGATTATCTAACTGAAATACATCTCTGCATATCAAGAAAACTAATGTAATTAAGTTTGATTATTATAGATGACTATTAATCTGTATTTTAACTATATATTACATTTTTAAATGAGCTGCACAGCAGAAATACATATACACAGTGTAGCAAATTGACCTTAAATTTGAATCAATAGACCCAAGTCCATACCAATGTAAAGCATTCATCTTTATATCATATCTTTATATCATATCTTTACACACCCCCTTTTTTAGAAAGATTTAACCATTTATATCCAACCCCTTTTAAATGAAAACAAACATTTGTAAATAATCATTTTGGGTTTTGGGCCATAGTTTTCTCCAAACTGCTTCCTACTATTTGTTGGCTGAAATATTTTTAGGAGTTCACAGAAACCTTTTGGGGGATCTTGTTCCATCAAACCACATTAGCCTGGAAGGAATCCACAGGTTCCCATTCTCTGTGGAAACAAAAGCAGAACCTCTTTTCCAAAGCAACATATTCTTAGACCTTTGAAGTCACGATATCTTTGTGTCGTTTAGCTTAGCAACCCCGAGAAACAAGTGTTTCTCTACAGTCAAATAGTTCACAGAAATGCAATAATATGCATAAATTAGACTGTTCTGTGTATATTCCATCTTTATGTGACCTAGTTTTTTAACTCTATTATTTTTTAATTTTATTATCTTTACTCCTTTAATCTATGACTGACTGTACTCTTGTCTATCTTGTCCATACTCTTTTTCCTTTCTCTCCCAAGTCTGCATACATTTTTAAACACACTGTGACCTGTGTAGAGGTTTATTTTTGTCTGAATCTGTCTTTATTGTGTATCTGTAATCATTTTTTGACCAAGAGTGACTTTTTTTAAAAAAATGCTCAGTGGGTATGGTTAGGACCAACTTTATGGCCCTGCCTGTTGACTCCCTCTCATCCAACATGGTGGAGGTGTGTTCACCACCCCTGCTGGCCATGCTCACCGCCCCAGCTCCAGGGATGCAGCAGGTCTATCTATGTCACCATTAAATAGCTAGTAACACACTGCTCACAAACCCCATTTAAGTGGAAGACCTCCCAAAAGGGCCAGAATTCGTGCTGCCAGCATGAACCAGGAAGCCATTACTTAAAGAAGCCCCAGGGTTTTTGCTGCTAATGCTGAGTCAAAAAACCTTCTCTTAAAGAAATTGCACCTCTGCTTACCTCTAGGAAACAGCCCACCTGAGAAAATGCTGCTACCAAGAAGTCGTGCTTAACACTGTTCATGTCTAGAATTCCTTCCAAAACTCTCAGGTTTTATGTAGATGTAGTTGCCCCACATTGGGCACCATTAGTAATGATGTGGGAGTCCCCTCTGTGTGCTGTGAATATGTTTTATTACCATGGGTTAATAAAGAAACTGCTTTGACATATGGCAGGGCAGATTATAGCCCAGCAGGAAATTCGAACCGGGATATATAGAGGAGAGTAGGCAGAGTCCAAGAGATGCCATGCAGCTGCCTAAGGAAAACCTTATCCAGAACCTTATCTGGTAAGCCACAGCCTCGTGGTGATACACAGATTAATAGAAATGGGTTAATTTAAGATGTAAGTGCTAGTTAGGAATGTACCTAAGCTATTGGCCTAACAGTGTTGTAATAATACAGTTTCTGTGTGATTATTCAGGTCTGGGTGAACAGGAAACGGAAAAGCAGTCTCCTTTTACGTAGGGCTGCACAGAGGAAATTCTGTCTTAAATGATACATAATTTTTTGAATACTGTTTCACTTTAAATCAACGTTATACTTTTTAAAAATGTGATTACCTGAGAAAGAAGTGAAACTCTAAAGCAGGGAGGGGATAATTTAAAGTTTATATGCTTACTATTACATAGAGCAAATTTAATGAATAGAAAATTTTTAATTTTTGTAATAATATTAAAATGTACATAAAATGATGGTTTTTTAAAATTCTAGAAGAATGATGAGAACTATTTTAAAGCAAACATAGTTTACAGAACTGCTTGACACCCCTTTTGTCTGTGTTTTCTAGGTCTAGTTTCTGTTTCTGTATATCAAAGCTTCCTCTTTACCAGGTTAGTGGACAGGTAGAAATGTACAGACATGTGATGGAGCACGTTTGTGTGTGAAATTTTTATTTACTAAACTGTGTGATGTCATCTCATGATGAGATGATGATGTTATGAAGCTGGGCTTTGAAAGATCTATGGGAGGGTTTGATCTCTCCATCACATGACAGACATCAGTAACGATCTGCAAGCCAGGAAAGGAGCCCTCTTCCCACCATCACTCTGGCACCCTCATTTGGACTTCCAACTCTTATGAGAAAACACATTTAGGTTGCCCAGTCTGTACTTTGTTGTAGCAGCCCACGCAGACAAAGGTAGTAGAGGGTTGTTATAACAAATTCCTAAACAGGAAATGGAGGTTACATAACTGAGCAGTTGGTAGAAGCTGGAAGATTTGGGATGTGCGGGCTAGAAATTGAGACGTTAAAGCTAATTCTAATGGGATTGCACATGGAAATGGGGTACAAATTGGAAAATCAGAAGAAAAGTAATCCTTCTTTATAAATTGGCAAAGAATTTGGCCAACTACTCATGTTTTCTGGAGGGTAGAACTTGTAAGTGATATAATAGGATATCTGAGAAATGAAGTTTTAAAATAAATGTAAGAAGAAACAATATTCATCCTGACTGCTTGCTTTAAAATACAAAAGGAGAGAGGTGAAGAAAATATTAGTCAGAAAGAAAGAACCAGAACTTGAAATGTGGAAAATTCCCAGACTGTTTCATAACAGATTGTGATGAGAACTAGGGTGAGAGCCGCTGCACCTCCCAGTCAGGCGGTACAGATGGCGTCCCCAGGCGTGGGCGTCCCCAGGCGTGGGCGTCCCCAGACGTGGGCGTCCCCAGACGTGGGCATCCCCAGACGTGGGCAGTTCAAGTTAAAGGGATGAAAACGCGGTAATAAAGGAAAACTACTGGATTAGATTTTGCTGCATTTATTGACAGAGTCATTCCATGTGAATGTGCAGTGTTGGAATAAAGGGAAGAATGATGCCCAGAGTGATTCTGAAATCATCAGGACCAGATAGCCTCTGTCTAGAGCCAGGTGGGCAGGGTGACTCCTCAGAGCCAGGAGAATGATCTCTGCCTGGAGCTATGCAAGTTACAGGGTGTGAGAAGGCGGAGTACAGAACCAGAAAGAACTACCCCCAAGCGAAAGATAATGCAGTTTGTCGTGCTGTATTTGAGCTTCCTTGGGCCCAGTTACCTATTCTTTTTCTCTTTCACCGTTTGGTATTGAGAGTGTCTGTCCTAGCCTGTATCACTTTCCACTGTGGAGAGTACTCAACTTAGCTCTTCAGGTTCCCAGTTGGAATGGAATGGATGGCTTGTACCTTGAGCATCCATCACCCATAGCTAATGTAGGGGGTACATAGACAAGATTGGGCACATTTAGAGTGCTCATTTGGGTGATACCTAGGTGAGGTTTTAGAATTAATGCTGGAAAAAGTTAAGACTTTGGAAACTATTGGGATAAAATTGTATTTTTGTCTGTCAGAAGTCTGAGTTCTCAAACTCAGAACAAATGTCTAACTAAGATGCCTATTTAATAAATCAAAGCAGACTCAACATGGCAGGTACCTGTTACAGAGTCATCCTGGCTGACACACCCCGGCTCTCTACCCTAAACCTCTCCAGCCCCTGAGCTTCTCTGCCCTATATGGGTCAGCCATTTTGGTTCTCTTGGCCTCTTGGCTCCTGGTTCCTCTGTGGCCTCCTCCTCTCTTCCTCTCTTACTCTTCCATCTCCCTGTCTCTCAAGGCCCAGTTTAGTCCGGACCATTCCAGACACCTCTGGCTGTTTATTCCCTCCTATCTACAATAAACCTTATCCTCGATCTTGGAGCACTCAGGTCCTTATTTTTTTCATTCAAGGACCTGCACTGTATCCTGGGCAGATGTGAGATGTAGACCAAGGTGCATTGTACAGCCCTGAGAGTGATGTAGCTAGGAGGAAGGCCTTCGAGGGGACCAGGTCTGAGCATGCAGCTGGTCTGGTCTGATTGAATGTGCCCCGCAGAAGGGATGCAGAGCTGCTCCATCTGCAGTGTGCAGAAGAACTCTTGTTCTCATGGCCGTTGTGATCTTGGGCTTCTGGCATCCTCAACTTTCTCAGATTTTCAAATATAAATTTCTATCATTTTGAGCCACTCAGTCCATTCGTATTGTGTGAGGAGGGACTGAATGAAGTTGACATTTGAAAATATAAGTACAGTTTGTAAGCTGAAATTGGCCTTAGATGTCTTTAACTCTCGGTCTACATTTATAAATCAGGGCAGCATGAGCCCTGTACAGGTCTTCATCTAATCAGACATTTTAGAGGAGCATAAATGGGAAGTTTAGTTGGTTTCTAGCAGCAGCATTTACTAACCAGTTACAATTAAATATTTGGATTTTAAAAGTTAATTATAAAATTGAGTGCATGTATATAACCTTTTTTAAAAATCCAAGTTTATAAGACTCAAACTTTTCAGAATATATTTTTGTTGTTGTTTTATTTTTTGATTTGTGAGACAGAGTCTCAAAGTAATCCTAGCTATCCAGGAACTTGCTATGTAGACCAGACTGGCCTCAAACTTGGAGAAATATTTTTGCCTCTGCCTCTGATAAACCAGCCTGCCTCCATCTTAGGCTTGAAAGCCATCTATAGTAAAGACAAACAAGGTTCATTCCTGTTTGTGAGTAAATCTGTTTCTCAAGGTTTGGGCTATGCTTGTATGTAAAGTTCTGTACACCGTGTTCCAGTAAATGGCAGCCTTATAAATCTCCTGAAATAAAGGTTTTCGTGATTTTGTTCCGCTTATGATCTGCTTCTGGGATCCCCACTTATTTGCCTGCCTAACCCCCCTTTTGGAAACTCCCTACCCCTGAGCTGTAAAATTCTTATCCTTTCCACAGCCAGTGCTGATCTCTTGAACCCCATCTCAGGGAGCAACAGCCTGTATACATAAATAAATCCTTTTAAAATTAATTTGGCCATATTTGGGTTGGTGGGCTTTCTCTTCACATCTATGGAATTAACACCTCCTGAATCAGAATACAAATTTACTGTAAGTTGCTGTCCCATTATTAAATTTCTGAAGTCAGAGACTAATGCATACTGTTATTTTAAATAGCCCTAAGCCATTTCATTGTATTTTCTTAAAACAGCATTATTCATCTATAAGTAGAAGTGCATAAAATATTTCTTACTAAATTCTTGTTGGACTTAGTATACTGTTTCAGTGTTTAAAGGTTTCATAATTGCAAAGGATTTTATCTAACTACGACTAAAACACGAGGCAAAGAAAGCCTGACATTTGTTTTTAAGAATAAAATGACAGTTTAGTGCGGGACAGTTGACCTCTCATTTCAGTTTTAGAAAAATACCTTAGAGATACAAAGGCAGAGTCCGGTTAGAAGGCGTGAAGACACAGCTGGCATGTGTATAAAGTGTGTGCTCTCCCACTCTGGACAGAAACACCCAGCTGTTTCCAGTTTTATCTAAAGAGAGCAAAGAAGGCTGAAGAGATGCAGCCCATAATAACCTTTTCTCTCCTCCCTTCTATGTTGTGATAAGGGTAAATGGCTCTCCATGAATTTTATATTATGGAAAGCAAGTGTTAAATCTGCAATGCTTCCCTTAGAGACAAGATTCATCAGAGGAAATGGTACACATTGATAGGCTCTTAGCCTCTGTGTGGGCAGGGTTTATTTCTTGGCATGTGGATTTTCAGGTGTAAAGAACTTAAAATATTTTTATAGTTATAATCTCAAAACTTTTTTTAATCCTAGGAAATTTCTGTTACGTTATCAGAAACATTAAATATTGTTTTATATAAAGTAATTAGCTATAGTAACCATCTTTAGGAGGTCAAGTTATTTTTGGAGCAGAATAATCAATTCTGCTCTCGGGTGTATTTTGGAGAGGAAAGTTGTCTTAAAAACAGACCAAAACTAGGTGTCCTTTACCACCTGTAGCTGTCATGTGTTGCTTGATTCTTTTTGTTAATTGGGGCGTTTCTTCTCAGAATGGAGTTTATTTTCTTTCAAATTCCACCACCGGAAAGAGGGTCCTCTAACTTAGCACCGCGTATTAACCTTGTGCTTGTTTGCTTCCTACTTAAAACAGTTTGAAAGAAAGACCTAGAGTGTGAAGCCAGGCATGCCCATGAGCGAATATGTGTAGATTATGGCTGTAGTGATAGTTACCGTGTGCTCGCTGCATTCAGACTTAGAAACCCTGTAAGTGGAAGTCTGGCCACGTCTGTGATTCTCTCAGCTCAGGTGTTCGAGTGCAGTCCTGCTGTACGTCTGGGTCTCGGGTTTGTCTCCTGACTCCATGAGTCCTGTCACCTGATTAGCCCCTTAGTGTTTGATCAGGTTTATTCTGAAATATTAACAGTAGGTTGAGAATGGTTTCCCATGTTTTAAATTTTTATTAAACAATTTAAATCTGTTTTGTTATGTTTAACTCCCAAATATTTTCCTGAGTATCAATTTCCTCATTTTAAGAGGGGCCCTGCCCCTGCCCTGAGGAGACTGTATTATACAGCTACGTCTTAAACCCATAACATTACTGGTCTAAAACAGAAGAGTATTATCAGTGCTCGGTAAGCTCCCGGTGACTCTCATAACCTAAGCTGCTCACTGCTGTTATCTGTAGTGACTTCAAAGTCTGAGGCCTTCGAGAGGGACAGTGGCAGAGCGAAGAGAAGGGACCTGCCAGTGAGTGCATGTTCCTACAGCTTCAGCTCTCCAGAGTTACAGTTACGCAGTCTACAGAATCACTGGTAGGATTTCAGCTAACGTAGAAATGTGTTCCAGCCTCGTGTACCGTTTTTAAAATCTGTGCATTCAGTGTTACTGATGACTGCATTAGTTTCTTTCTTTGCGTATTTCAGTCCACCCATCTGTAAAGCCTGTGCACAGCAGAGGTGATTGCCGCTTTAGGACGCAGCTATCTGGGAGTAGGGCCTTTCCTGGACGCTTGATTTGTGATATGTGCTATTTGTGGATCGATTTGTACTTTGTATGATTTAAGTATTTTCTCTGTCTTACAGGTTTATTGTCAATACACCAGCTCTAGAGCAAATGAATCAGATTTTGCACATCTTGTTTGTGTTACTACCTTTCCTGTGGGCTCTTGGGACTCTGCCGCCCCCTGACGCGCTTTTCTTTTGGACCGTGGAGCAGGTTTTAGAGTTTGGTCTCGGAGGCTCACCCATGTCAACTCATCTACGGTAAGTTGTTTTGAGTTTTGTTTGAAGTTTGATGTAACTTCTGTTTTCACTTTCTCATTTATTTATTGTGGTGTGGGGAGGTGAGTGCCCATGGCTACCATGGCACTTGTGGGAGTCAGTTTGCTCCTTTCATCGTGTGGCTCTACAGATGGAGCTCAGGTCAGCGGCAGCAAGTACCCTTACCCATGAGCCATCCTGCGCGTCTGATGTCAATTCTTAGTAACAGATTCCTTTCAAGTAAATCTGCCTTCTTTCCCTCCAGGTTATTGGTAATGTTCTTCGTCTCTGCCGGAACGCCCATTGTGTCCTACTTCATCCCCAGCACCGTGGGTGTCGTTCTTTTCATGACTGGACTTGGGTTCTTACTGAGTCTTAATCTAAGTGACCTGAGTTTGGCCTTCAGGCACAGAATGGGAAGCAGTCGTGAGGCTTGCCCAGGCAGCTGTGGATCTGGGTTCGGGAGGAAGGAATGCCTTCTGGGCGTGGCTATGCTGGGCGTGGCTATGCTGGAGGCGGGACTGCTGCATCACTATGCTGGCTTCTCACCCATTTCCGAAAGCAGCGCTCAGTCCATCCTGGGCTATGTTTTGATGGCGCTACTTTCAATACTGTGGATACTGAAAGAAACTCAGAGCATCTACGTCTTTGGAATTTTCCGAAACCCTTTCTATCCAAAGGATGTACAAGCTGTGTCTTTATTCTTCAAAAAACAAAAGAAGCTCCTGAAGGTTGGGGTTGTCAGATGGATCTTGCTAACTCTAGGTAGGAGTTACAGTCTGCTGACTCTTACAAACGGTAGTCAGGAAAGAACCCTCATGTGTATGTAGCATGCCTAATGCTCTTTATGTTTCATTTTCGTTGTTGCTTTTGTGCATTAGTTTGTCTGTTCATTGCTTAAATGTACTCCTGAAAGCTATTTACCAAGATAAACTGTGGCAGGAGATTCTGCAGTAATCAAACTCGCCTCCATTTTGTCTGTTTTGCTCCAGTGTCGCCCTTGGCTATGGTGGCCTTCCTCGCACTGGACAGCTCCTTACACGAGCTACACTCTGTGTCTGTCTCCGTGGGATTCAGCAGGGCCTTCAGAACGGTAATCCCAGTATGCCTTGCATGGGGCTGAGTGTAATGGTGGTTTTTATAAACAGTTTGCTTAGATTAGCGAATTCTACCTGAGAAAAGTGGATCGTTTATTTTCTGTAGGTGTGGCAGAACACAGAAAATGCTTTGCTAGAGGCTGCGATTGTATCGGCAGTGCGCGCGGTGTCCGACACAGACTGCTGGTGGAACAGGAGCCTCAATACGGGAACCAGGCTGCTATTGGTAAGTATCGAGAGGTTGTTTGTTTGTTTACACACAATAAAACTCATACATTCGAGGGCTTTTTATTCAGTGGTATATATTCAGAGTAGTGCAGCCATGATTGCAATCTAACTTTTAAATATTCCAAATGTTTCCATTAGCGGCCATTCTCCATCCTGCCCTTCCTATCATCTGTATCAGTTCCAGATCCAGCCACCACGTCCCTATTTTTCTCTGTATAGATTTGCACCTTCTGGGTGAATAACCTGAATTGTGTCATAGGATGTGTGGTCCTCTACCTGTTTCCTTCAGCTTTTAGCATGCTCTCAGGGTTCACTCCTATAGCATGTACAGGTACTTCTTTGTGGTCAAGTAAATTCCAGTGTGTCCATGTACCATGTTTGTTTCATATACCCATCAGATGATAGATATTTAGGTTTTTGTTTTTCACCATTGACAGGAATATTACTGTGAGCATTTGTATGCATATTTTTGTACAGATGTGTTTTTATTACTAATGGAGATAGGTATCCATGGAGATAGGGTGGATGAATGGTTGGATGGATGGATGGATGGATGGATGGATGGATGGATGGATGGATACGCAGAAATCTGGTCATCCACGTTTCACACTTCAGGCTCCTGGCACATTGCTTTCCATTCTGACTCTACTATTTTGGAAATACACTATTAACAGTATGTGAGGTTTTCCCAGCTGCTCCACATTTTCACCAACACTTGTTACCTGCTATTATTATTATGACCATACTCATGGTGTAAAGTGCCATCTTTCAGTGATTGTATTTGTTGTTGTTTTGTTTTATGTTGGGAAACAGGAAAATGTTCACTTGAAGAGAAAAAGCAGGCATTTCATAAGGAACCTGTTCAGCCTTCATTAATATGTCAGTCTTCTATCAGTCAGCATTCTGCATAGATGTTCTCGGTCTTAGAAAGTGCCCTTCATGACTCAGCAAGTGTTCTTATCATGAAGGGGCTGGAGTTTATCAAATATTTCTTCTGTGTTTCTTTATGTAGTGTGATGTGTTGAGTTTTGATTGCTAAACCAGCTTTAGATTCCTAAATGGCCATGTAGTCCAACCCTTTTAATCTGTTGGGGTAGTAATGAGTTGGCTAATACCAATTATCTGTGTTCTCAAGATGTGTGTCTACGCCATGTGTATGCATGTATGTGTGGCTACCTTTCCTTATGAGGGTGTCTGGTTTACATATCAGGACCATATAAAATGAATTTAAAAGTATTGCATTCACTTATGTTTTGGGGAAGAGCTGGTAAAAAAAAATTGGTAGTGATCCTTACTAATGTTTTATAATATCCAGTAAATATTAATATTTAAATGTTTTATAGTTGATAGTATTTTATAATATTGAAAGCATCCAAAACTTAGCTGTTCTGTGTGAATAGTTGGGGGAGCCATTGTTTTCAGTTGTGTGCCCACTGGCAAGTTCCTCAGGCTCCAGTGGAGAGTTCCAAACTCAGTGTCATACAGATGCCCCAGATGAAACTCAGGTAACAAAACCAAAAGTTGTGAATGTGGGGTAAAGATTTGTAGGGAAGAACTGGGGCTGATGGCATGGGAGGAGTTAAGAGAGGATTGCAGGAATGTAATCAGAATGCATTTGTACATATATAAAATTATCAAAAAGAAAAAATAGCAGTAACTCAAAATACCACTTAGCTGAATACATAATATTGAGTCATAAATTTTAATAATTGCACTACATTTTAGAAATGAAATATCTCTAACTAGCAAACCTATATTTCAAATATAAAATACTACTTTAGTCTTAGTTAATTCAGGTAGTCTAATTCAACCTTTTATTGTCAATCTAGTCTTTTTTTTTCTTCAGTTAGCATCAATAAGTATGTTTTCCTATAGTTTATCCTAGTCACATAATTTAATGGCTTGGGAAAAATTGTTTACCCATAAGATTTAAGTGATGTAGTATAACTTAGTTTTGTTGTTATTGTTATATTTTGGTTTGGTTTTGTTTGGAGAGGGGTTGGGTTTTTGAGAAGAGTTTCTCTATAGCTTTGGAGCCTGTCCTGAAACTAGCTCTTGTTGCCCAGGCTGGCCTTTAACTCACAGAGATCCGCCTGCCTCTACCTCCCCAGTGCTGGGATTAAAGGAGTGCACCACCACTGCCTGGCTTTTTTTAAGACCAAACTTGGGTTGACTACTAGCCTCCTTGGTGAAGTGATGAGTTTGCATGAAAGATCCCAAGCCTGCACAGAACCAGCTAGTGCCAGCAGGTTAGTCTGTCTGCCTAACCTCTCAAAAGGTGGAAGCCAGGAGAGGCAGGAGTTCAAGATCATCTTCAACTGCATAGTAAGTTTGAGGCCAGCCTGGACTATATAAGTCCTGCCTCAAAAAAAGGAAGTAAAAAAGATAAAACTTATTGTGATGTTTTGAAGGAAAGTGGTCCCATAGGGAGTGGCACTATTAGGTGTGGTCTTGTTGGAGTAGGTGTGGCTTTGTTGGAGGATGTGTCATTAGGGGTGGACTTTGAGGTCTCAGATGCTCAAGTCAGGCCCAGTGTCTCACTCTCTTCCTGCTGCCTACCAGTCTGGATGTAGAACTCTTGACTCCTTCTCCAGCACCATGTCTGCCTGCGCTTCTCACCATGATGATAATGAACTAAACCTCTGAACCTGTAAGCCAGCTCCAATGAAATGTTTTTTGTTTTGTTTTGTTTTTATAAGAGTTACCATGGTCATGGTATCGCTTCACGGCAGTAGGAACCCTAAGACACAAATGCAGTTTCTTATTTATTAATTTTGAGGTTGCACAAAATTATAACAAGGAATGGCTTGCTAGGACTGTTCCCTCAAAATACTGAGCCAGTAATCTAATTATTATGTGTTTTTACTCATGTGATTTTTGAAAATTCATAAGGCATTTGCTAAGCCAAATAATAATTTTTATTTATCCACAGATTGGTATCATGCGGGACCGTTTGCTTCAGTTCCTCACTAAATTGCAGTTTGCAATGACGGTGCTTCTGGCATCGTGGACAGAGAAAACACAGCACAGGAGAGCAGCCAGCACTCTGTGTGTCCTCAACACTGTGTTCGCGCCCTTTGTGTTGGCTGTCATCGTCCTTTCAGCACTGCTGTCTGCTCCTCTGCTGCCCCTCTTCACCCTGCCTGTTTTCTTGGTGGGGTTTCCTCGCCCAGTTCAGAGCTGGCCAGAAGCAGTGGGCAGCACAGCTTGTGTGTGCACAGACACGGTGTTCTACCACCAGATGATCCCCAGCTTGACCGCAGCACTGCAGGGTGCAATGGCAGCGGGAAGTTTGGGTGAGTGGTGGGCTGTGCTCAGAAAATTCTTACTGATATATTTGAGGTACCCCCCCCAAAAAAAAGAAGAACAAAAAGCAAAAATTCCTTTTGATCCAACCATAAAACAGGTTCTAGTACTTTGATGTATAGGCAGAGACTAAATATCAAATAGAATTATATCACTGCTGCTTATTTGGAGGTAAAATTATAAAATAAAAATACTTAGGGAAAAATTCATTAGGGTGATTTGACAGCTTAAAAGGAAAACATTTGCTTAAATTAACTCAGATGACAGGCTCACCGCTGAAGCCTAGAAATACCTTTCTGCTTATAATTTCCACCAGCTTATGAATTTCTGTCAGACGGATGCTGTAGGGTCCATCCGTAGAAGGAAGCCAGCTGCTTGTGTGAGTCGCCCTGCCTCATACATCCCAGTACGAGACCTGTCAAGGAAAGCAGGTGTGCTGTTTGCACGAACGGTGAAACAGTGGGAGGTCCTCACTCTCCAGCTGCCACTCAGAGTCTGCAAAGCAGATTTTCCGGAGGATGGCAGCCAGCCCTGCTGAGCTTACTCATCAGTCCCACGGCTGAATGAGGAGACTTACAAAATCCAGGTCCCACAGCTGCTGCTTCTAATAGCAAAGACACGGAAGTACCTGAACTGTTTCTCAGCCAGGAAAGGAATACTTAGATTCGGCGGTATTCATACAGTGAATTCCAGCAGCTGTGGATGAACTGGAGCTGGTTGCAGTCAGCATGAATAAGTCTCGGAGGACTGTGCTGAAAGAGAACCTTGGCTTTAAAAATAGCCATACATCACAAATGATGTAAATTATGCAACCATCTCAAAACTATAAAACACTGTTCTAGTTTATCTTTCAGATCAGTGTGAAATTGGCTGGTATAATTTTCATACTTTCCCTAATATACCTGATGTATGTCTAGCATTTTATTCCATAGTTTCCACCTGGTCATATTTCTGACAAGCATATCCTAAGTTTTTCTGTATTGTCACCTATGTGTTGTCTATTCTGAGTGTTCCTTAAGAGTTAGACACCTCATGATAGGCAGTGGGTTCTCCTTTCTATTCTTGACCTAGTGATGGACAAAGTCATTGAAAATAGGGGTCTAGATATTTAATTTTAAATGTTCATAGAAAAAAATAAAACAAGCTCAGAGAGTTATTTCTTACTTTCCCCCTCCATTTTCTAATTTCTTTTAGGTCTCCTCCTCCCTGGCTCTCATTACTTGGGCCGTTTTGAGGATCGTCTGATATGGATAATGGTCCTAGAACGTGGCTATCCTTACTGCTGTGTTAATGTGAAGGTCAGTAACACTTGAACCTTCCCCGGTGGTTTTTATGGGGCATATGTACAATTTTCCCTGTTATGTACACATCAAACAATTACTTAGCCTGGAAGAAGCGGCTCTTAGCGGATGAAAACTCCTGATGATTTCCAAAGGTATTTTCAATAAGCACATGCTAATTGCATACTAAAGCGTGGTAACAAAGCCAACATTCTTTTCTAGTCTTTTTTGAAATTTATTATTATTTTGTGATGTGTATGGGTATTTCTCCTGCATGTGTGCTCACATGCATGCCTGATGCTTACAGAGGTCAGAAGAGGGCATCAGATCCCCTGGAAACCAGAGTTCCATTGCACTCCCTGGGTGAGAGACAGTTGTGAACCCAACTGCTTCTCTTTCCTCTTTAGGGCTTAGAATTGCAGGAAACATCCTGCCACACTGCTGAAGCCCAGAGAGTGGACGAAGTGTTCGGAAGTGCTTTTCAGCAAGAAGGCCCTCAGATGTGTTCCGTTAATGAGCACTTGGGCAATGTCTTGACCCCGTGTACTGTTCTGCCTGTGAAGCTGTACTCTGATGCCAGGAGTGTCCTATCTGGCATCATTGATTCTCATGAAAACTTGAAGGAATTCAAAGATGACCTTGTTAAAGTGCTCGTGTGGGTACTTATTCAGTACTGTGCTAAAAGGCCCAGCACGCAGGAGAAGAGTCACCAAACTGAAAAGACCAGCAGAGCCTCACCAGTGGTCCTGCCTGCCTTGAACACTTCACCATGCCCAAAATCCCTGGAAGACTCAGACAGTTTAAATTCAGACACTTTCCATGACTGGTCTGATGATAATATTTTTGATGATGAACCAACTATCAAAAACAGAAAAGAAGAACTTCAACTTAAAGATCTAGCAGGTACAAATTTGCCTATTCCAGGGTCAGTAGACTCCCAGGGTGCAGATGCTAATTCTGCAAGCACAGGTCCCAAAAATGATCTTTACAGGACGGTTTTACTGGGCTTCCCTGCTGTCGACAGGGGCCAGCGAGAAGACGTGGCGTACATCCCTTTCGTGGAGTTCAGTTGTTCGCAGTCGCACTTGCTGAGTTTACCTGAAGAATGGAGATCTAACTGTACACCACACTCCAGAATAAGGGAGGCAAGCCCCTTGTTTCCAGAAGACTGGTATCAGTTTGTTTTAAGGCAGTTGGAGTGTTTTCACTCAGAAAAGTCAAGTGTGCTGGAAGACATCGCAAAGGATAAAGCTCTAAAGGCCTTGTATGTCCATACAGTGATGGCGTGCTATATTGGTCTCTTTGGAATAGACAACGTGGCACCTAGTCCCGGACAGATAGTAAGAGTCTACAATGGAGGCTTACCCTGCTCTGGCGCCTTGGATTGGCTCTCAGAAAAGCCAGAACTGTTCCAGCTAGTTCGGAAAGCATTCAGGTAACTCACTTCGATTACACACAAGTTGTTCCTTTTATAGTATGATTGAGTTGGAAACAGTTTAATTTCTACATTTCTGATTTTGTGTAGAGGATTTTTTTTTTTTGAGACAGGGTTCCTCCATGTAGCCCTAACTCACTCTATAGACCAGGCTGGCCTTGATCCACCTGCCTCTGGCTCCTGAGTGTTGGGATTAAAAGGTGTGTGCCACCACCACCCAGGTGGGTAGAGGATTTTTTTAAATACGACTCCTTGCACTCCCTGGATGTCTTCATTTCAGCTGGTTGCATTTCTCCCTCATTTTGTTTGTTTGGGGTTTTGTTGTTGTTGTTTTTGATTGTTTGTTTCTCTTAGCATTAAGGATGGAACCTGCATATCCTGCCTCCACCTCCAGAGTGCTAGTGTTATAGGCCTAGCTTACATGGTGCTGAGGATCAAACCGAGGTTTTGTTGTTGCTAGGGAAGTACACAGCAGCTGAGCTCTGCCTCCAGCCCCGTGACCCTCAGTTTTTATCTGAAATGGATGATTTCATCTTGGGAGAGACTGGCTGTTGAGACATGATCCCAGACTGGCCTGGAGCTCATTCTGGAGAGCCAGGGATGATGATCTGGTCACCGTGCTCCCACCTCTTCCGTACAACGAGTGTTGGCTTAACATGGGATGCTTTCACTTTAGAGTCTTAAAAATAGTCAACAAATAGCTTTCCTCTTTAAAGTGTACTGTAAAATATTCTGAAATTGTTTGGGTTTCCATTTTCTAGGTACACACTGAAACTAATGGTTGATAAAGCAAGTTTGGGTCCAATAGAAGACTTTAAAGAACTGACCAACTATCTCCGAGAATACGAGAGGGACTGGTACATTGGTTTGGTGTCTGAAGAGCAGTGGAAGGAAGCAGTTCTAGGAGAAAAGCCGTGCTTGTTTTCCCTGGGGTATGAGTCCAGTATGGTAAGTCATTTTCATGAATAAACCTTACTGTTGGGAAAACATAGAGTGTTTGAACTGATAAATGCCGTGACATTCCAGCTGTTGATAATGTTAATGAAAGTTGCAATGCGTTCATAATTATGACTGTATATTCCGGTAGTGTAATCTAGAATAGCTGGTTCATTTCCTTTTGCCAGCCAAATAGGGGGCTATTGAAAATATTGTGTAATTACTGTACAACAGCTGATCAATAAGACAGCTGGTGTGTGTGATCTGCCATAGCATAGTTGATAAAATACTTTGTGGTTTTTTTATGCCCAGTTCAAGTGTAAGAATTACCACTTTAGTTCTAACCCCAAGAAGAGAAGTTAGTTTGTGGGTGGCAAATTACTTCTTTTGCTGACATATATGCTTCATTTGAATCACACCCAACCATTGATAGTTCAGAGCTTCTTCAAATAGAGGACTTTTAAAAATACTTAGTCTTGTTCTTATTACATTTTAAAGTACCTTTATTGAACACAATATGAAAAAATGAATGTTATGAGCCTATTTGGGGTTTTAGGTCTGTCTAGCACTATGGCAAGAATAAAAGTAGTTCAGTGTATATTTTGCCAACAAAAATGATTTTTAAAAATTACCTTGAAAGGTTATAACCCCAAGGCATATAGCAAATAAGGAAACATTAGTTTAGAAAACTCTACTGAAAACCATTATTAATGAATAGCAAGAGGCCAGCATTTGAAGCTCATCCTGTTGCCTCCTTTCTCATTGAGATGGAAACTCCATTAGACTGGCACAGCCAAGAACACAGGGCTCACCCTCCTCCTCTGCTCCCAGTTAAAGGGGAAGTTTTTCTGGAGGCTAGGACTTCAGTGTGCTTAATCTCTTTCCCACTGTAACTGCTGAGGCCGAATTCCAGACACAGTCAGGAAATGGGTTTCTTTCCACCCAGCCCTTCTCACAGAAGGCTTCATCTTAGACATGCTGCTCCCAAGAATTTGGGCTTTGCCCCTGCTTGCCTATTCACTTGATAGAGGTGGTACATTGAAAGAGCTGAGCTGAAAAGACCTGTAGTTCCTTGTGCCTAAATAAATAAATAAATATCAAGTGACAGCTGGGAACGCAGTGTTTATTCTTGAGGCCATGAGAACTGTTCTCAGATTAACTGTGGTAGTGACTGTGCTCTGTGATGCCCAAGGGCCCTCGGATTATAAATTAACATTTGAGATGAGCGAAGCATGCCGAAATCGAATTACATCTCACTAAAATTTAATGAAATGGAGCCTGGCTGAACAATTGTCCACTGTGATGATTAATCTTGATTGTCAGCTCAATAGGCAACAGAATCACTGTGGAAACAAACTTCTGGGCATGTTCCTGCTGCCAAGACATCCTTCAGCTTTAGCCAGAACAAACCTTCCTGTCTTTTCTTTTCTTTTGGTTTTTTGAAACAATGTTTCTCTATGTAGCCTGACTATCCTGGAACTTACTCTGTAAACCAGGCTAGTCTCTATCTCAAGATATCTATCTGCTTCTACCCCGAGTGCTGGGATTAAAGGTGTAAAGTTTGTTTGTGTATTTTATTCATATGAGTGCACTATTTCCATGAATGCTTTCAGGACAGAAGAAGGCACCAGATCTCATTATAGATGGTTGTGAGCCACCAAGTGTTTGCTGGGAATTGAACACAAGACCTCTGTAAGAACAGCCAAGTGCTCTTAACCACTGAGCCATCTCCCCAGCCCCAACTCTTCCTTTCTTAAATTGTTTTTTATCCAGTATTTATTTAGTCATGTCAATGAGAAAATAACAGATCTATCCACTAACATTTACAGTTGTGTCATGCCAAGGCCACAAAAGACTAAGTAACTGGAATTTTGTTGTCGTGGTAATAAAGTAACATTTTTCTTCTCATGTTTATTTAGAGAGCTAAGAAAATGGGCGATTCTTGATTCAAAAACTAAGCAACTCCTGTGCATGTTCTGTGGTGGGTAGCTTTGCTGTGTGTTTGTTAACCTTCCCTCCCTGCACTTGCAGGGTGTTTACACTGCGAGGGTCCTGGTACTTCAGGAGCTCCCGGTCCACATCGGGAAGCTGAATGCTGAGGCTGTTCGAGGTCAGTGGGCCAATCTTTCATGGGAACTGCTTTATGCCACCAACGATGATGAGGAGCGCTACAGTATCCAAGCCCACCCACTCCTTTTGAGGAACCTCACCGTGCAAGCCGCTGACCCTCCCTTGGGATATCCAATTTTCTCTTCAAAACCTCTCCCTATACATTTGTGTTAGTCCATTTTTACATCGAAAGGCGAGGGCATCCGAGGAGGCACTAGTTGAACAGAACAAGTCTAAGTTCTGTCACTTCTGTAGACTTCCTTCTTGCCCCAAGGATGCCTGCAGGAAAACTAAGGTCTGTAAAGCTGATTCTCCGCTGTCTGGATGACTCCAGCAGCAGCCCTCTGACCTGACATGGCAGAGGTAGTTGGCCAATATTTGTGCTGTATGAGTTCTGATAGGTTTTGGTAGCTAAAGACATTTGTACAAGATTAGATTTTTTTTTTATTGCTTTGCTAAAAGTCTGGAAAGTAATTAGTCTTTTTTAAAAGTCAACAGGTTTATACTTACATATTTGAAAGACATTCATATCAGTGTTTTTAAATAATAATGAATCTTTTTAATGGTTAATATAACATGTACATATATTTATTTGAAATGTAGTTAAATTTTAGTATTTTTAAATACTGTTTTAACATTTAACGTGGCATGAATAGTCCCATACTATGTATTCATTTTTCATATACTTCAATTTGAAAACTCTAAGCACTTGAAATAAAATATGACCAGTAAAATCTTGTTCTTTGTGTTGGGAGAGGGGTACACATGTGTGTAGGTGCCTACACATGCTTGTGGAGGTCAGAGGTCAACCGTAGGCAGTATCTCTCTCGGGGATTTGCTGAATTGGCTAGGTTGGCCAGTCAGTGATCCCCGTCTATGTCTACCTCGCCAGCAGTGGGGTTAAGAAGTCAATGCCACCATGCCTGGATTTTTTTCGTGGGTATTGGACATCAAACTCATGTCATTGTGTTTGGATAACAAGCATTTCACCAACTGAAATACCATACCAGCCTCTCCCAAATATCTTTATTCTATGGAAGTAAACAGTGCTCTTCATTCACCCCAGATGATCTCACAACCAGAGGCCATCCCATTGTTCTGACTCCTTACACAATTCTTGCAATTGATTTACCCAGTATAGCAGCCCACTCCTACAAAGTCAGCTAGGGTTTTTGGATAGGATCCTCAAGGCCAAAAGAAAGTCAGATGAAAGAAACCGAAGACAGGACAGAATTGGAAGGTCTGTCTGGTCATGTCAAGCAGTCAAACAGCCCAGAGTTTATTTCAGAACTTGCTTATATATGAAGGAAGAACAAAGCACAGCAGAGACAGGCAGTCAGTGTCCAACCACAAGAGCATTCCTGTCCTTGAGTGAGTGAGCAGCCTCTTCTCCAACATGTGCTTGCTGCCTGGAAGCAGCCTTACTTTCTGTCCTAATGTTCTTGAGATTTGTTGTCAGCAGCATACTTTCTACTAGATAAAGTGTTCTTTTCTCATGAGCTAAATCAGAAGTCTCTCACAGCCCTCAAGGTTATAGGAAAAAAGAGAGCAGGCAAGCTTGAGCTCAAATGACTTCTTTTAGTCAGAAATGACTCCAGATGGAAACTGAGTCACACATGGGCTCACACACACAACACCCTTTTTTTATTACATTATCATCAGTAACGTCAGAATCAGCATCTTTCTGCTTCGCACACCGTACCAATTGAGCTTCAATTTCATCCTGTGGGAGGGGAAAAAACCCATGAACATGCCCTCTCCCCATACCAAATCAAGGTCAGGACCCCTTTCATAAACCAGTAAATGGATCTTTCGTTAGACTAAATACGTGGCGGTGCTTTCATGCCAAAATCTGTTCATGGCAAATTGCTCACAGACATCCACATTTTAAAAATTTATTTTTTTAAAAAATAAAACACATATATGGTGACTGTGGGTATAATACTCTTCTTTTTTATATAATATTTTAATTAACTCTTAAGACTACCATGTGGGTCTAAGTCAGTGATTTTCACGGAAACAGACCTCAGGCAGTGACCTCCACAGGAGTAGGTACAAGGAAACAACCGCCAAGGGACAGGCCCCAGCCAGGCACTTTTGCAGGATCAGGCCCAAGCCAGGGGACCTCTATGGGAACAGACCTGAGCCAGGGACCTCAGCTGGAGCAGGCCCTAGGCAGTAACCTCTACAGGAACAGGCTTGAGCCAGTGACATTCTACAGAGGAGGCCCCAGGCAACAATCTCTACAGAAGCAGGTAGGTACAAGGGAGCCACCACTGAGGGAGCAGGCCTGAGCCAGATCACTGTGGGACTGGTGCTAATCAGCAACCCCGGAGGGAGCAGGTCTGAGTCAGCAACCTCTGTTCGAGCATGCTCAAGACAACAACCTCAGGAGGAACAGCTCCAAGCAAGCAACCTCCATGGGAGCAGGCTCAAATAACCCCTGGGATTGCAGAATGACCCCCAGGAGCAATGGGCAACCTCTGGGAACATCAAGTGACCTCCAGGGTGACTGGAACCATGGCCTTGACTATACCACAAGGAGCCATGGATTCACTGGCACCTGGAAGATTGATCACCAGAGACACAGCCCCAAATACACCAATCAGAGGAAAAGATGAGTAAACAAGGTAAGAACACAATACCACAAAGAACAAAACACCAACAAAAACTAGTGGCCCTACAACAGCAAGACTTGAACTCCCAAATATAGATGAATCAGAAGAAAGTGACCTAAAAAAATAAGCTTAGGAGAATGTTTGAGGCCCTTTAAAGAGGAAATAAAAAATTCACTCAAAGAAATGGAGGAAAAGACAAAAATTGGAAGAAATCCAACAAATCCCTTAAAGAACACCAAGAAAAAAATAAGCAGATGAAAGAAACAATTCAAGACTTGAAAGCCAAAATAGAGACAATAAAGAAAAAACACAAATGGAGGGAACTACTGAAACAGAAATAATGAGAAAACAATCAGAAACTACAAATGCAAGCATAGGCAGCCAAATACAAGAGATGGAAGACAGAATCTCAAGCACAGAAGATACAACAGAGGAAATAGACTTATCAGTCAAAGAAAACATTAAATCTAACAAAAACTTAAAACAAAATATCCAGAAAATATGGTACATCATGAAAAGACCAAACCCAAGAATAATAAAGATAGAAGTCCAACTAAAAAGCACAGAAAATATATTCAACAAAAATCATAGAAGCAAACTTTCTCAACCTAAAGAAAGATATGAGTATGAAGATACAAGAAGCTTGCAGAACATCAAATAGAGTTAATTTTTTAAAAAGTCCCCTAGCCACATAATAAAACACTAAACATACAGAATAAAGAAAGAATATTAAGAGGTGCAAAGGAAAAAGGCCAAGTAACACATGAAGGCAGACCTATCAGAATTACACCTGACTTCTCAATGGAAACAATGAAAGCCAGAAGGTCCTGGTCAAGCATTATTCAGACATTAAGAGACCACAGATGCCAGTCCAGACTACTATACCCAGCAAAACTTTCAATCACCATGGATGGACAAAACAAGATATTCCATGACAGAACCAGATTTAATCAATACCTAGCCACAAACCCAGCCCTACACAAAGTACTAGAAGGAAAACTACAACCCAAGGAAGTTAGCTACATCCACAAAAACAGACAATAGGTGATCTTACAGCAGCAAATCTCAAAGAAGGGAAAAACACATACAATAATGCTGTGAGACAATGGTCTTGTACCCTGTAAAGGTTTGTCACTTGTATTGGTTTAAAAATGCTGATTGTGGATCTCTCTGAGTTCAAGGCCAGCTTGGTCTACAAGAGCTAGTTCCAACTCAGGCTCCAAAGCTGTACTGGAAACCCTATTTCGAAAAACCACACACACAAAAAAAATGCTGATTGGCCAGTAGCCAAGCAGGAAGTATTGGCAGGGTGACCAGGCAGGAAGTATAGGCAGGTCAACCAGAATAAGAAAATTCTGGGAAGAGGAAAGGCTCAGTCTGCAATCGTCACCCAGACACAGAGGAAGCAAGATGAGAATGACTCACTGATAAAAGATACCAAGCCATGTGGCTAACACAGAAAAGAATTATGGGGTAATTTAGGATGTAAAAGTTAGTTAATAAGAACCCTGAGCTAATAGGCCAATCAGTTTATAATTAATGTAGGCCTTTGTGTGTTTCTTAGGGGCTGAACAATTGCAGGACCAAACAGGAAAGAAACTTCTGTCAACACAATAACATCATCAACAATGAAAACTAAAATAACAGAAATGATCAAACACTGCTCATTAATATCCCTTAATATAAATGAACTCAACTCACCTATAAAAAGACACAGGCTAACAGATTGGTTACAAAAACAGAATCCATCCTTCTGTTGCATACAAGAAACACACCTCAAACTCAAAGACAGACATCACCTCAGAGTAAAGGGTTGGGGAAAAAAAGTTCCAATCAAGTGAACCTAAGAAACAAGCTGGTGTAGCTATCCTAATATCTAACAAATAGACTTCAAACTAAAATCAATCAAATAGACAATGAAGGACATTTCATATTGGTAATAGGAAAAATCCATCAAGAGGAAATCTCAATACTGAACATCTATGCCCCAAATGCAAGGGAGCCCTCATATGTAAAAGAAACACCACTAAAGCTCAAATTACACATTAAACCCCACACGCTAATAGTGGGAGACTTCAACACCTCACTCTCACCACTGGTCTATGACACAGAAAATTAACAGAGAAATAAGGGAACTAACAGATGTTATAACTCCAATGGGCTTAACAGACGTCTATAGAATATTCCATCCAAGCAGAAAAGAGTATACCTTCTTCTCAGCACCTTATGGAACCTTCTCAAAAATTGACCACGTATTCGGTAACAAAACAAACCTCAACAAATACAAAAAAAAAATTGGAATAACCTAATGTACCTTATCAGATCACCATGGTATAAAACTAGAAGTCAACAGCAATACTAATTCCAGAAAACCCACAAACACATGGAAATTAAACAATGCTCACCTGAATCATCAATGAGTCAAGGAAGAAATAAAGGGAGAAATTAAAGACTTCCTAAAATTCAATGAAAATGACCACACAACATACCCAAATTTATGGGACATAATGAAAGCAGTGTTAATAGGAAAGTTCGCAGCACTGAATGCCTGCATAAAGAAGCTGGAAAAATTCCACACTAGTGACTGAACAGAACATTTAAAAACTTTAGAACAAAAAGAAGCAAACTCACCCAAGAGAACTAGATGGTAGGAAAT